ACCTAAGATCCAACCTCCTTGGAAATCCGTCTGGGCCATTAAATTGTAAGTCAGCCCAGCCCAAATCCAGCCTATTGATTTTCTTGATAATTGGGTTTTATCTTGACACGTGGCTTTACTCTATTGGTTTATTTTAGGTGTAAACAATGCCCCCCAACACTTGGTTTTATGGGAATAAATCCAAGTGTTTAAAATTTAAATTACCTTTCAGACTCCAAAGGCCATGTGCAAAATCTGCTAAATCCCAAGATAATTGCAGCAGGTATTCCCAACTTTTTCACAACTGACTCTGTTTAAGCGCATCCAGCCATCCATAGCCAGTCATGGCCGCTCGATCAAACTTGCTCTCATTTTGGAATAAACACATGAAAGCAAATTAACTCATTTGAGCACAGACAGAATTATGAACCTAGCTCATACAGCTTCTTGGAACTCTAAGCCTCTTGCTTCCCAGACTATGGGGTAATAAGGCTTGAGATAAATTCCATTGATTTTTCTGGGATGAAGCTCTCCATCAAGTGACTCTAACCAATAGGCACCCCCTCTCAACACTTCATGAATTCGAAATGGTCTTTCTCAATTTGGGGACCATTTCCCAAATCTGTGATCTTTCTTGCCAAGAGGTAAAATTGCTTTCCAAACCAAGTCACCAACTGCCAAATTTTTACCTTTTACTCTCTTGTTGTAAGACTTTGCAATTTTGAGTTTTTGAGCTTGCAATCTATCCAAAGCTGTCAAACGTGAGTCTTCAAGGTCCTGAAGCTCAAGCATCATAGCCTCGTCATATTCCCCAGACTAGAGATTATGCTGAATCACCACTCTTAAAGACCTGGCTGTTAGCTCCATTGGCAAGACTGCGTCATGGCCATATGTCAAGGCAAAAGGTGTCATTTTGGTTGAACTCCTTTGTGAAGTTCTATAAGCCCACAGTGTTTCAAACAATAATTCATGCCAGCGTCTGGGATTGTCATTTACTATTTTTTCAAGCAAATTAATCACCACCTTGTTAGAAGCCTTCGCCTACCCATTAGCTTGTGCATAATGAGGAGTAGAATTTAACAGACGGAATCCCATTTCCTTTGCAAATGCCTCCACTTGATGGCTGACAAAAATTGTGCCTTGGTCTGTTGTAATTGTTTCTGGCAGACCAAATCTGTGAATAATGTCCTCTTTGATGAACTTGATTACATCAGACTGTTCTACTTTCTTCATTGGTTTAGCCTCCACCCATTTAGTAAAATAATCCGTTGCCACTATAATAAATGAATGACCTTTTCATGACGAAGGATACACCTTACCAATTAAGTCAACAGCCCAGCTTCGAAATGGCCATGGTTTCACAATAGAGTTAAGTAAAGAGGCTGGAACTCTTTGAAGTGGCCCATGGATCTGACAAGATTTGCAGCCCTTAGCATAAGCAATACAATCTTTCAAGATAGACGGCCAAAAGAAACCATGTCTGCGAATTAACCAACGCATCTTGATTCCAGCCTGGTGTGCACCACAAATCCCATCATGGACATCAGACAGCATCTGGAAACTTTCATCTGGACCTAGACAATGCAGCAATAGTTCATCATGGCCTCTCCTATAAAGCACATCCTCAATCAAAACATAATTGAGAGCTTGCATTTTAGTTTTTCTAGATACTTTAGTGCTTTGATCCTTAAGGTACTAAATAATTGGAAAGCACCAATCAGTCTAGGTGACATCAATGCTGCAAGTAGAAACTGTCATGCCACGTTGATGAATTGATGACAGACTGCGCTTATCAACTATTACAACTTTCTGCATTACACCTTCAGGAATTCGCAAACCTGAAGCAATCTGGACCATTTCATTAGCTTCATAATTCTGGTCTCTAGGTAGATGTCTGATGGACACGTCGTCAAACTCTTCCAGCAATTGCACAGCCAAGGCAAAATAAGGGGTTAAAGCAAGGCTAGTACATTTGTACTCACTAGACAATTGCTTCAAAACTAGCTGTGAGTCCCCTATTACCTCAACCATGGATACTTTTAGCTCCACCAAAATCTCAAGACCAATAATCAAAGCTTCATATTCTACTTGATTATTTGTGCAATCAAAATCCAGCTGGAAAGACATCTGTGTTTTTAGCCCAGACGGGGAGATTACCACGACTCCAACTCCAGACATGGTTTCTATACTAGATCCGTCAAAAATAAGTTTCCAAGGAACTAAACTTATTGAAAACAAGTTAATCCCTTTTTCTTCGTCTGCTTCCACGTCCAGACATAGATGATCTGCAAGAAAGTCTGCTAGTGCCTGCCCTTTGACAGCCTTCTGTGGTATATACTTCAAATTAAATTCAGACAAGGCCAGAATCCATTTACCTATTCGGCCTATTAACAAAGGGCGGGACAACATATATTTGACAATATCAGTCTTGGCAACCACATACACCTCAGAATAAATCAAATAATGTCTTAATTTTATTGCAGCAAAAAAGAGAGCAAGACACAACTTTTCGACCGAAGAATATTTCACTTCGGTCTGGGTCAAACATCGACTCAAGTAATACACAGCTTGCTCCTGTTTTTTATCATTTTCTTGTGCCAGCAGACATCCTATGGACTCGTCTGCGGCGGATATATACAAAATTAAAGGCTTATTTTTCATAGGCGGTACAAGTACTGGTGGTCTGGATAAGTACCGCTTTATCATATCAAAGGCAGACTGGTGGTGTTCTTCCCACTTAAAATCTGCCTCAGACTTGAGTTTCAACAGAAGAGAAAAGACTCTGGTTTTTCCAGCCAAGTTAGAAATGAAACGTCTTAAAAAATTAACTTGGCCAAGAAATCTTTGCAACTCCTTCTTGTTCTGTGGTGGTTTCGCCTCAATCACAGCCTTGGCTTTGTTCTTGTCAACCTCCAGACCACACTCATGCACCAAGTACCCAAGGAAGTTACTCGCAGACACTCCAAAGGCACACTTTAGTGGGTTCATTTTCAAGCCATGTTGCCTCATCCGCTTAAAAGCCTTCCTCAAATGGACCAGGTGGTCTGCTTCCCCATGTGATTTCACCACAACATCATCAATATAAATTTCCATGAATTTACCAATCATATCATAAAAAATTGCATTCATGGCTCTTTGATAGGTAGCTCCAGCATTCTTCAGACCAAATGGCATCACAACCCATTCAAAAGTTCCAACAGCACCTGGGCATCGAAAGGCTATCTTAGGAACGTCTGTGTCTGCAATAAAAATTTGGTTGTACCCACTATGACCATCCATGAAAGATAGAATTTTGTGATGGGCTACTCCATCAATCAACAAGTCTGCAATTGGCATAGGATACTCATCCTTTGGTGTAGCTAAATTCAAGTTTCGAAAATCAACACAGACTCTTAATTTTCCATTCTTTTTCAGCACAGGCATTACATTTGACAACCAGTCTGCATACCTGCATGTCCGAATGAATCCAGCTTTTACCAGCCGCTTAATTTCTTCTTTCACCTTCAAATGACCTCTGTAGACATGCGTCTGGGCGGCTATTTATACGGTCTGAACCCTTCTACAATTGGCAATTTATGTTCCACCAATTTCTGATCCAAACTTGGCATTTCTAAGTAATCCCAAGCAAAATAGTCTTTAAACTCATGTAAAAGTCTGACAATTTCATCTCGTGTCTGCGGCTCAAGAGAGCCACTGATAAATGTTACCCTTGGTTCACTTTTAGACCCTAGATTGATTTCCTCCAGTGAGTCTTGAACTTCAGCTTTTAAATCATCCAACTTGGCTGGGGCCAGGTCCAGCTCCTCCAAAGTTACTTCATCACCCTGGTCTTCTTTCTTGCCTTCATGAACAATTTCAGACCTGTCTACTTGAACTGCTTTTTCAACAAAATAGGCCGCTAATTTCTTTGTTATCTCCAACACGGCCTTTTGTTTTTCTTGTCTCAGACGAGCTTGCTTCATTAGATCTCTTCAATTTTTAGTTTCCCCTTCGGCCTATAAGGAATTATTGTTGTTGGCCGAAGAAGTTCATCACAGACTTTCTCTACAACACGCTTAGACAATGACAGTCTGCTGCATGCTATTATCCCAATCGGCTTCCCATGTCTATACATCCCAAAAAACCGAATGGTTCCAATGTCTTCTTCATAATATCTAGCCTCCACCAGGTGGGTATTGGCTAAAAAAGGCTTATCATCTGCAGACACGACCTCGGCCTTGCCACCATTCCAGAAAATCAGTTTCTGGTGAAGTGAAGAAGGGACACACCAACTTGAATGAATTCAGTCACGCCCCAAAAGTGCATTATAAGTAGCAACAGTATCCACCACAAAAAACGCAGACATTAGTGTCCTATTTCCCACTGTTAATTCAACAGGCAGCACACTCCTTGAACGATTCACCCCTCTTGTAAAATCACTAATTGTAACCTCAATATGCACTAAATCATCAAGAGACTTGCCTATTTTGTAGAGCATGCAAGTTGGAAGGACAATGACTGCAGCTCCATTATCCACCAAGACATGGCTGATTGGAGTCCCATCTATGTGAGCATTGATATAAAGTGGCCTAATGTGTATGGCCATCTTTTCTTTTGGTTTTTCAAACACAATTTTGTTAGCCATGTCCTCCTCTTCATCATCCTGAGCTGGAACAACGATTACCTCTTCTTTCATCTGTTCTAGGAACTCACAGACGATTGGTTCCTCTTCCTTCTTGGCTTGGAAAACCAGGGGTAATGTCAGCACCAAACATAACAAATTCACTGAGAATTCCCCAAAATGAATAGTGCCATCTCCTTTTGATTCAGCTCCACGATTCCCAGACTGTTCTTGTGCTTCAAAAGTTGCTTTCAAAACCCCGTCTGGACTCACAATGACAGACGCCACCTTTGGAGAGGCTGGAGATTGACCATCCCCCTTCGATAGAGTCTGAGTTACAGTCTCATTTTTCTCTTTTCTCACCCACACCATGTTCCTTTTCGTAGGTTGGCGTGGTCTGCGAGATGAACTTCCCTCAGCCTCCACCAGCTTCTGTTGTCTTTTTCGTTCTTCAACCCTCTTGCGTTGCAGTCTACACCTCAAGGTTCTGGGATTCTAGGCTGGAAACTTAGGATGACTGACTTTCTCCCACCGTTTGGAAGGTGACTTAAGTGGCGGTTTGACCATCCTTGGAGATCTAGTACCAATTGAGTAACGTCTGGCACCTTCTGGACTGAAGTTCCTGGTCACAGTGATCCTTCCTTGCCCCTCGAGCCTCTATTGATTTGACCTGACGCTCCTGCTATGTCTGGATCTCCGTGCCTCAAGCACCCACCTCAAGTCTTCGGCAGCAAGGTTCCTTTGGGCATGAGGCAAATTATGATTTTTGGCAACACTCTTCAGGTCTGCAATATTCACGCCAACAGACACAGCTGGAAAAGGATCTGCATCTACTCCCATGGCCTCCTTTGCTTTATCTGGAAATTTCAAGATACCCTTATCAATTTTTTCCAATGGCCTTAAGGCTGGCCCATGGTCTCTATTGAAGAATTGAGTTGGTTGATTCTGCATACTGCGCTGTACTGGCTGGGCTGGAGGAACTTGTGGCTAGAAAAAGTCCCTTAGATGGTGTTAATGATGAGGACCCACATTTCCCTTCCTAGCTGGTGAAATATACCTATACTGAGGTTGATGGCCATGGTCTGCAATAGGAGTAGCAGCCTCCATCAGTTCGTTTTGTCTTTGCCCTTCACCAATGAAAAAATTTTGCTGTTGAATATTGGGATGAGGCTGATTCCCTTGCCCCCCAAGTGCTGGGATTGGGGCTTCCTGAATCTGTTTGGGCATTTCAACGACTGGAGGAAGGATCTCAAGTCTGGGCTGTCGCACTTGCTCAACCACTTGTTCTGAAACAGCCTGCAGTGTTCTGCGACTTTTTTCCTCGGTTTCTCGCATCACCCTAGTGCCTTCTTCAAAGACCCGTCTCATCTCTTCTATACATTGCCTAATTAACTCTTCCTGATGTCTGGAGGACTCTGCTTGACTGTCAACAAGTCTTCGCATAGCCTGGTTCTGTTCTTTGAATGCTAAATCCAGGCGTTCAATCATACCTCTAAACACATTACTTGATTCAGCAAAGTCATCTCTGCGGTCTGCATCCTTTTCTTTGAAAATTGGATTGCCATAAGATCGCTCCACGAAGGGTGATAAGAAAGGAGGAACAAATGGATCATTCTCACCCTCTGAGTAAACTGGATTGTCATCTGCATGTTCAACCTGGGCTGGCTGAACCTCTTTATCTTTGCTCTTTCTCGGTGGCATGGCTTCAGACGCCTCTGAATGTATGAATAGAGGATTTGTGAACTGTAACTGATACATTCTGCTGGTTGTCCCACTGGGCGTGCCAACAAAGGATTGTTTCCTCAAAAATCCTTAGCTGGCCTTTACCACGTGAGTTGGATGTTAGGCGTGCCACTTGCTTTGTCTAAAAACAAGAAAATAGGATTTTCCAAACGACCCTTCTCCTTTCCAGCGGTTGACCTCCAATAAGATGGCTGGAAAGAACATATGTGAAATGAATTGTGCCCCAGACGATGTTGCAAAACAGAGGGTGGAGTTCTGCAAAATGGGTTACTAATTGCCTTGGAAGCCTTCAAGGACTTCACAACCAAACAAGTGTAATAAAAGCTACAAATTCTAAAATAAATGTAATATCCTAAAGCAATTAAACTAACATGAAGTAAATAACAGAAAATAACATGCCATGAAGATTAAATTCGCAGACAACAAAAAAAGTAAAATAACAGACAATGATTTCCAGTGTTTTTGGACCCGGCTCGGCCTGGCCGGTTGAACCGGTTGAACCGGACCCAGGCCTAAAAACGGGCCGGGTGCATACCTTGGCCCGTTTTGCCAATTAACCCGTTCTAACCCGCCATAACCCGCCCAACCCGCTAAACTCGCTCATACCACCTAACCCGCCGGG